TGTTTGTGACAAATTGTTGAATCGCGTAAACGAGGAAAAGATAAAAAATCGATTATGAAAATTGGCCTTTTTTCGCTTAGGTTTTGTAATAATTAGTGAGGCGTACAAGCCGAAATTCTGAAACTTGGCCCAAGTTTAAAAGATATGCTAAACTGTCCATTTTTTTTTCTACAGTTGTAATTATTAAGTTCAAGGTTTAGCATTGTGAAAGACAAAATATTTACCACTTTAATGGGTTATTTTAACAACATCAATACTCTAGGCGTAAGTAATTTCATTTCAAAATTTTTTAAATATCAATTTCTACCATTAATAAAATTGTGATATTGTTGAAGATTTCCTCGCAGTTAATATTTTTTTTACAGAGAGCAATGCACAAAATAAACATAATAAGGAGTTTTTCCAAATATTACATTTCTTTCATTCAAAAGCCGTAGATTAAAGGGCTAAATGGTTCCTTTGTTAACTGGAACCCCTTGTGTGTCACAGTATTTTTGGACAAAACAAAATTGTGTGTTTTTTCATTTTAATAAAAAGTAAATAAGAAGCTTGAGAACTATTTAAGATTACGTAGGAGGTAAATTTATGATCAAATTTTACCTAATATCACATTTTGTGAGCGAATCCCATCTCATACAGGGTATCCATGAGAACTTTACTTACTGAAATTTAAAATCAATAAATTACTTGTAATTACTGGACCTCGTCGAAAAATTAAAAAAAAAAGAATTTAGTTCACGCCTCGTTGACAACTCGAATGTTGACTTCGGCCTAAGAGGTAACCGTAGAAGGTAGGGTGTACATCGTAATTCCTTGGAATGCTTCTGCAGTTCCTTCATACCGTACGCCCTTTTTTGTACTAAATTGTTTATTACAATAATATGCAAAATACAACAACTAATAACAACATCCCTAAACAGGACCAGTAAAGTTCTGGCTACGAGATAAATTTAATGCAACGACGGATTCCATCTAGATGCTATCAGAATTAAACACTTATATAATCTATACTACTAATACTACTAATACTTGGTATTTTTATTTTTGTATTATTGGGATGTTTCTCACTTCCAATAGTGACTGATAAGACACTGAAGCCTTGAGGGTTGGATTTTTGTAGAACATGTACAATTTTATACATTAATTTACACTGCTCTAATTTTCAAATATCTGATGATGACTAAATTGAAATTTTCATATGATTATGCGAAAATTAAACAGTATTTTCAGTATTTTCTTTTGAAAGACTTCAATTCATTCAAGTAAATTTCATAACACATTCTCACAATGTGCTATTTTTATGTTAGAGATTCCTCTATAGCAAAATATTTTCTAAACTATTATTTTTCTGTCGAAATACCTTACATATATTTTGTTTCACATGTGCTAATTTTAATTTTATAATGGTATAACCAGCTTAGCAGTCACGTCTCAGGTTATTTTCTAGCATACTCTCTAACGCCCTTTCAGTTTTTGTCCTATAAACTAGTGCTGTGTCATCAGCAAATGTAAAATAGCTGGCTTCTCAATTTGCAAGTTTTAAGTTTAGAACGTAACGTATATATAGCAGTTGGCCCAGCACTAAACCCTTAGGCAACCAGTGAGTGTTATTAAGTCACTTTTACTGTCCTGTATCTTAAAATACTGTTAGATAAATATGCATTAACTGAAGAGCATTTTCACCAAGATCGATATTTGATAGTTTGTTGAAAGAAAAACGAACGTCAACTGTTTTCTGTAAATCTGCAAATGGCACTGATCCAGTGCACCACAAACAAAATTTGTTAAATTACAAGTAGCCGACAAGGATACACTGCTTTTTTGTAAAAGCGTACTGAAATTTATCAAAAGCCATATATATTTTTTTTAAATCTAGTCATTCGGTTTTTTATAATTTTTTCAACTATTTTCGAGAATACACTTATTACGGGGATTTTGCTCTTACCTAAAAAAAAGTAATAAGATTTTTTTTATTCATATTTCAAAAAATTTCAGCTAATGAACTTGCTCATATTTCAATGAAAACTATCCACCCCAGATAATTCTGAAGACGTCACTTTTCCGAAAAAATCAAACAACAGCTTAAAAATCATACAACACGTTTTCTTGCTCATGTGCAAACGTTATAATTTTTAACAACCTCCGATCGTGGCGTATTGGGCCTCGTCTACCTATCCACCGAGCACTCGAAATCATTCGGTGTCTTACATCGTGAGCGTAATGTGGAGGTGCACATAGTATCACCATTTCTTAGAATTTGTGTTATTTCGGGATCAATATCTTCTCTGAGTTATTGTAGATAACACTCATCATTTAAGTTTCCCTCAATAAAACACGGTTCAACAAATACGGTGTCTGACTATGGAACTCCCGCATTGGATGTGGGTCATTTTCCAGCCAATATCTACAATTATGTCTGTCTACTATACCAGAGAAGCAGATATTATACAATAAAGCAGGAGTGTCGTCCAGAGCTTCACTTATAAATTCACAAAACTGTGGATGCCGATCGAAATCGTCTTCATGCCGCTCTTGTACTAATGTAATCTGGTAAGGATGAAATATGTGTTTATGTAAATTTCTGAAAACACTGCTGCGACAAACATCCACTCCATTAGGAATTTGTGACACTGGCCAACGTGTCCTGAAATGGCAACTTCCATAGCCTGGTTGTTAACTAACTACTAGTTCGGACTAGTGGTTTTTATTGGTAATTGATCCTGTTTCGAAAAATGTTATGTACTTATGTGTGGCAGTTCTTTAGAGATGAGCAGCATTAAACTGATTTAGCTGTGGCTCTTGAAGATTTATTATTTTTGTAATATAATTCTATAATTTCAATTCGATCTTGCATAATACAAATAAATTTGCAGTTGATATTCGAATAAAAACTGAGCTACCTTTAATTGACACTTTATTTAAGAAACGCCAATTTTTCGATCGCTATGACTTTGTCACCTAATTGAAGAGAGTTACAGCCGCAGTAAAGGTATAGTTTACATTGAAATTATCCGTAACACCTAGCTGATTGACTATTAACTTTAGACATTCTGGGAAACCTCTTGTAGGGAAAATCCCAATAATGTATATGGTGTTCCACAAAAAAAAATGGAAGGAGCTGCCAAAGAGTTAAGCATATAGCAAAACAATATCATTTTTGACGTGTTTTTTCATTTCTTCACTAAAGTTATGCCTTCAGAATTATGATGATGATCTGTACCGGGTGGCCCATTAATAAAGGATGCCGGCCTCATCTCAGGAACCGTTAGTCCTACAACACTATTACAAATTAACAGATATCAAAATTAGTTTTAGCATAATCCACTCTGGATATGGAAACTTTTTTGTTTGAACTATTGTTTTCTATCTCGTCAAATTAAATGTGGGGGAAGGGACAAATATTGGTTTAGATAAAGTTGAATAACTTTTTTTTTGGCTAATCCGATTTCGACGAACTTAGCTTTCGCTTCTCTTAGTTTTAAAGAGTATTTATAGGAGCTTCGACTGGCATGTCAAGATCACGATATTAATTCTTTTACGAGTCGGTAGGAGGCACTTCATGCCAAAAACAGATATTTTTATAATTTTCTCGAAAATTTCAAATGTTCAGCTGGGTTGAAATTTTTTTCCCTTGGAAATATAAATAAAATTGTGTTGATTAAATATATTTTTCAATCGAAGCATAGTAATAGTACCAGAGACGACAGACGTGACATGGGATTTCTCCATAATAATCGTTAATAATCAATAATAGTTAAAAAATGAATCGTCAATATAATTTATTAATATATTACGTTCATTTTCAATATCAGAGAAGAGGGTAAAATAACTAAGTTAAGTAAGAGGTTGGCATGGTAACGGCATGATTATTATGGACCCAAATCCAGACATCAGTTTCTTGAGGTATTTTCTGAATAATTCTTTCTAACCTAATTTCTTTCCAATTATGTTTTATATATAAAATAAAATAAAAGCGGTATCAAACTTTATATCATCTCTGGGTTATCTCTAATACTGCTTCTATTATACCTACGTAAAAAAATATTTTTAAACTAACTTTTATTTTTTATCTCAGAGGGAAAAAACGATATTGCCATTACATTTGAAAATCATAAAAATAGCAGTCTTTGACATGAAGCGCCTCCTACCGTAAAAGAATTAATATCGTAATATAGACATTCCACTCGAAGCTCCTATAAATACGCTTTAAAACTAAACTAAGTTCGTCCAAATCGGATTAGCCAAAAAAAAGTTATTCAAATTGTTCTAAACCAATAGTTGATAGTTGACAATAGTTAGACCTTTAATTTGACAAGATAGAAAAAAATAATTTGAAGAAATTTTTTTTTTATCTAGAGTAGATCAGGTTAAAACTAGTTTTGATAAGGGTTATTTTGGAATATTTTTGAGAAAACCCGATTTTTCTATTTTACATTAGAGATTACGCCCCCTAGGGACCATTTTATGAACTTTTATGAATAATTTACAGCTTTTTCTCTTGGCGGATTTACCTATAAATATTTTTGTCTAAGTTGTAGGACTAAGTATCCCGGAGATATGGCCGGCGTCCTTTATTAATGGGCCACCGGGTACGTAAACGCACACAATTGTTGAAAAATATATTATTATTAAGTAAAATCGTTACGTAATAATAAGAATTTATTTAACTGTAAGCGATAACTATAAGAAAAATTACACAGAATTTTGTGTAATACTTGAATGTTCCATTTGATATTTGGTTTCTCAAAATGCTACTATTTTATGGTTCTCTAGCTCTCTCGTACGCTTATTATTATTGGCTACATCAAAACTATTTGGTAACCGTCCGTCGACATTTATATCTAGGGAGACGTAATATACGCGAAGACACTTCAAAAAAATCTGATAAAGCAAAATTCGAGGTATTCGTAAAACGAGGGATATTCAAATCGTCCTGACAAATTATGAAACCGCAAATTTCGGGTCGTCGCTAAAACGGAATCATAAATTCCTATACTCACATTGGACGGTCAAATCGAACGGGGAACTGTAGGTCTCCCCCTCAGAATTCCTCGCTGAGCATGCATATTGTCCGGCGAAAGTCTGCTTTATATTTTTTAGGGTTAGGACGTCATTGCTGGGCAACGTGCCTGCGGATTCGTTGTATGGTAGTAAATGGCTCTGAAAATCAATAAAAAATCTAGTTACCTAATTATCCAATAGGGATACAAACACAAAAATTTGTGTGATGTGTGGAAACTTGTTCTTAATAAACTGATGGTAAAGGTGGGTAACGACTTGACACAAAACGAACACTTCAAAAACCACATTTCACTGATAACATCCATCCATAAAAATAGGTAGACGTTTTCGAAGTAACAAGGATATCTATCAATTTTAATATGTTTTTAAGGAAATTGGATGGCATGAAATAGCGGCTGAAACAATTAATGAAATAACCACGGATATGCCAAGAAGAGTAACTAATTTTCCAAATACATTGGTATTGGGTGAAATTAAACTGTTATCTAATGCAAAAAGAGAAACGTTGAATCATAAAGCAAAATGTTTTTAATAATTTGCGAATTTTGATTATATCAATAAGAGCAAAATGCCGACTATAGATGTACCAACCTTCTTATATGGTAGTGGGCTATGGACAACAATGAAAAAAGAAGAAAGCAGGATCCAAGCACAAGGAATAAAGAGTGAAAGGTTGCGCAAAACTGGACAGACTAAGAAATAGGGATGTAATGACGAAATATTCAAAATAAATGAGGAAATAAAGGAAAATTGAAATAAGTGGAAAGAACAAGTAAAAGGGAAGCACAAAAAGAGAATACCACCCAAAGCAAGATTTCTCAACACCATGGAAAAAGAGACATCGGAAGTCCGAGAAAAAGATAGGTGTCGTGCCTAAAATCTGAAGGGAAGGAAAAGAAGAAGAAGAATAAAAAGAAGAGGAAGGAGAACAAGAATAGGAAGAAGAATCCAGATTTGTAACTAGGACTTTATAGTAAAAGACCCAGTTCCTAGTAACTTCATCCGGTTAAAGCAGAAGCGATTTTATTGCGGAAAAATGACAATTTAAACGCATTTCGCATTAAACTCGAGTATAATTGGTAAAAACGCCGGATTAAGAGAAACGAATTTTTTACAACGAAACTAAAACGAAAATGGCACTTTCGTATAGCTTTTTAAAATTACTCCGGAATAAAATGCCCCAAAAGAAATTAATAAAGCACCTTTATTGCATGTACGGTTACAAATTACTGCCGGTGCTTTAGCGGATGCATACAAAAATAAAAGAAAAATGCATTACCGTTTGGAAAATTTTATTCTTTATGTGCTGGGTTATAAATGTATGCAGCGAACTTTATTGTGCGATTTATTTTAAGCCCCGCAGTTTCGATTCTTACAGAATTTTTGTTTTTTTGCTTTTAGGTTTTTGAAATTAAACATAATAAAGCGTAATTCGCACAAAAAATAGAGAATTACTTTAAGGAATTACTCCCCGCCGGCACTGAAAAATAATAAATAATAAACAATAAATAAAATTAAAAAAAAGAAACTCCAGAAGTAACCGCAATTCAGAAACTTCGTTGTCGAATTGACTTCCTCAGTTCAGATTTACAGGAATGCCGTAGAATATATTAACCTTGTGTTTTTCTCAGAAATATCATACATCTACTTAACCGGATAATATTGGTGGCTTATATATTGATTTATGTTGGCGAAAACTTGTTGCAACATTTTACAAAGTGGCTGGTTTTACTTTCAATTGTTCAAATATAATGCTTTGAATATGTTTTATATTTACAATGGTTCTTTTACGTAATTGAGTAAATTAAAATTAAGCACTTAAACATGATAAGAAATAAAAGACAAAAATAATATAAAAGTATGATAGACCAAAGCAAAACTAACGGAAAAAAGATTTTGAAAAACATACAAGAAGTTTTTATGTGAAAGTGAAAGTCCTCTCAAATGAAATGAAATAAAAAACTTAACTAATAATAAAACTAAGAAAACAATTTATTTAGTGTTTAGTTATTATTAGTAATCTGATCATTTTGCTTTGTTTGGCGAAGGTTGGTGGCATAGATTTATGTTATTTGGTTTAACTGAATCTCGTGGTAAATATTTGCTTAGTTTAGTTTACCCAATCAGGAGATATTACTGAAGATGTGCTCTTGCCTGCTTTGGTATACATGAAGGTAAACGATGCGACCAAATGATACTGATACTGATATATTATTGCCTGGTTTGGTTTGGCAAGTAAGAAAAGTCTCATTGGAAATGTGTTGTTGGTTGGTTAGAGTTACATGAATATATGACCAGATGAGGCACGTGTACCTATGTGCATTGCTTTATTGTAGAGGCGCGTGTCGCCGAAGCATTGCGTTAGTGGATAAGCATGTGTTGCCGAAAGTATTTGTTGCGATAATCATGGATTTATTGGAGAGGCGTGTGGCGCCAAAGATAAATAAATATTCCAGGAAATAGTGTTATACTGGATGTGGTGCGGAACCGAAGAGCAATGTTCTGATGCTGATAGCTGATGCTTTTATTGGTTTGCCAAATGAGTGCAAGTTGCAAGTAAGATTTTGGTTTTCTAATTAAAGTTTTTATATATTGCTTAATGATAATAATAAAAATAACAGAGAATTGCATAGCGTGCAAGAGGTCCCATTACAGATTTGGAGTAGCTCTGATAAATTTTTGATTGTTTCCTTTTAAAAATCAATTAAGTGATTTAATTACTTTTTCCTTTGAAACCAGTGTCGTACATTCTTTTAGTATGTTCAAGAAGTCTAATCCTAAGTCTAATGACACACAAAAAAAATGAGATTTGGATTATCAGAGCATGTTTGGTCGCAGCAAAACAACATAGTAATAACAATGCCAGAAGCCCGTGTTATCCACAAAGAACGTCACTGAACAAAAGAAAAATTTAAAGAAGCTGTTTTATTGAAAATATAAAAATATTTTTAGCAATCCAACGGATATTCTTGTTTGCATATTTTTGATTGATTTTACCTTTGAAAACAATACATCTTTTTCTCTAGAGATATACAGAAACATTCAGTATTCTTAAACTTTAGAAGATTTTATTAAAATTAATATAGGAAGTTGGACCGTATCAATACATCTCTTAATTTTGAGGAGTCGCAGAAGCAAATACCATACCGCTTTCAATTCGTGTAGTTAACGAGTTTTCCGTTCAAAATTTGGAAAAAGGATTCTAATTATCACCACCATAAAAAGCGTCACCAATCAATTCGAATAATTTGAAAAACCTTGGCCGTGAAGGTTAACCTTTAAACGAGACTCATCCATAAACTGCATGAAGTCTTATCGCGTCGAAATGAGAAAAACATAATCTTTGGTCAGTTCACTCCGTTTCTACGAAAACTTGAAAACGAAACCACAGAACACATTAAAAACGCATCAGTCTTAAAAGCTAAACAGGCCGAAAGGAGAGATAATGTCGGTTAGACAGCTTTGAGCAGCAAACACATAACTCTCGTTGCCGCCATTTCTCGTTCTTTATGAAAACGCGCGCACACTTGGGAAATTCGTAATTTCTTTTCCGACACTTCTCTATTTTCCGAAAGGGATAAGGTGTATAATATTATGCCGCTTTCTTATAAAATATTATGGACGGCCACGTTCTTTTACACGAAAATATTTAAATAACAATAGGCGTTCGCCATAGAGATTATCTAAACAGGTGTTGGCTAAGAAAACTGAGCATATAACGTGGGTTGGCATGCAAACTTACAACAAGAAATGCATATTAAACAGGGAGTTGGAAGTTCACGGACTTAACGAGAAAACTGATATACAGAGTACCTTCAACGGCGGTGACCGTCATTTTTAAATTGTAAATCAAATTTGTAATTCACTAAAATGAAAACGTAAAAATGCTTTTAAAATAACGAGTTAACTTATTTGGTTTGTTTGGTTAAAGACGAGACTCGACTTTCTCAAAAAAAAATTATAGTTGCTTCATAATTTCTTGTTTTATCGGCAAATATCTCTAGTAACTATATAGCACTTCAGTTACATACACTTATAAAACATCAAAGTTATAGTTGAAGTCAAGTTGCGCATTTATTTTTCCTTCCAAATTGACACTTGACAGTCTATCTTATTAATGTAATATGTCTTTTTGTCTCTGTATAGCAATGCTTCTCGTATTTGATTGCTGCTGGATGTCTTTGCGGTAACATTGCATTTGGATATAAATCTTACAACTATATGTAACCATTTTGAGAGCCTCTCCTTGTATGGCATACAAGCACATATAGCGTGTGGGTTTCAGTTTCGAAATATTATAAATTATTTCCAACTCAAAATTTCATCCATAAGGATGTCCAAATTGTTTCAACAATATATCAACTTGAAACGGGCAAGGACTTTCAACTAATTCCAAATGTAATAAAGTTCAGTTTATCAATATTTAATGATGATAGGCTTTCATTCGACCCACTTTTTAATTTTGTTATAGTTATAGCTTGTTTCTCATTACGACAAAGCAATAAAATATAAATTTGCCATGACCGGGATCATTAAACGGGGGGAAAACTTAAAGTTGATACTGTAAAGTTCAGATAAATTGCTATGATTATTTCGGATAAATTCCGTATTTCAGTTTTCAAGACCCAAATACTTCGAATCGTTCCTCGACTCTAGTTTGCATACAATAAAAGGACGAGGATATTAGAATCACAAATGTAGTAATAATTATACATGATCATAATTATAGTGATGGGCGGTTTATTAGGACATTTTAAAATCAAGTAAATATAAACATAAATAGAAGTAAATTTTAGTGATCATTTTCTCAGTAGTCGGATAAACCATAGTCGTTGCTGTCAAGAGAAATGATCAGGTGCCCCACAGTGTTTACTAGCATTTTTACAACTTCTCACATTCTATATCAATCACATTTCTAGTCTTTATTTCCTCTTGGAAGAGCATTTCAACGTTCATCATTTTACAAGTGGAGTTGTCTTGCCACAAACGCTTACGAATTCTATAGTATTGTATTTCAATTATTCTTCTGATATCAGTATTTTTATACCCATTTGTTACAGTTTTTCCTCCTACACTTCTCTTCGGTGACCTGATACGGCTGCGTTTATCCTCATGCATAAGCCGGTATATTATTGACT